TCTGACAGTAATGCTGATTGTGTGAACTTAGGCAGATCATGAGAGGGAGGGCAGGAAGGGTTGCATCAGTGCTTAGCTCTTGTGGCCCTTTCTTACATGCCCAGGGAAATGCTGATTGCCACTTTGGCATTAGGAAGCAATTTTTCTCCAGGCCAGTTTGGCTGGAGATCCTGGAGGATTTTTGTCATCTTCTGGGCATGGAATAGTGGTCACTGGAGGTGTGGAGGGGGAGGCATTTGTGAATCAGAAACCAACCAATACTACCAAAAAGGTTAAAAAAGTATTTAAAAATATGAAATTCAGAGGGCCAATTAACGTGCTAAAAACAGACCCACCAGTTCAATTAAATAATACCAATTCAATTAAATAGACAGCTACTATATAAGTGATAAAAAGATCACTGCTTTCTAGAAGATGGTGAATATTTTTGCATGAACAAACATCTAGGGTATTAGTAAAGGTGCAACTACTGTGAGCATTGCTTCTTGTGAAGGGGGAGAGGCCTTGTACAGTCTCCAAGTACTGAACAGAGGCTTCCTACCACCTTTGATAAACAAGGGAAAGGGGAGGGCAGAGTTTCATTCACTGAAGGTGGAAACAAGGTCTTTGTGATGATTATGATCCTGTATCATCCCCAAGGGACAAAGTTGAGATACACTAATGAAATCATGGTATACATTTATACCAATGCAGTTGCATACATACATTTATGAAATGTAGCCTAATATGTAAATGTATCAAATCAACTTTACCTTTGATGGGGCTCTGTAGCAGGATACTGGTATCCACTGTTTCTTCTGATTGACAAGTAGAAGTGCTATGATAAGAACAAGGGCTGTCATGATGGGCACCGTCACCCAAGCAAGAGAGCTAAGAGATTCCTCTGTGCTTGATTCTGATCCTCTGTTTTCTCTAAAATCCCCCTGAAGGTGACCCATATCTGAAAAGTGTGCAAGAGTATTTTAGTAGCAATACAACTAGATATGGCTTATGTCTCCCATATCAAATAGCAGAATAACTTCAACAATCTCTTGTTGTTGTTTTTATCAGTTCCCAAACAGGCAACAACAGTACAATCTTTAAATGGTTTCCTCAAATTATGGGTAGCATTGCATGAATATTTAAGATTCTTGGCTCTGTATATTAGGGCAAACTAGATGAGATTATGGTTGTGACTAGATTGGAAAATGGCTTTGACTTACTCTGCAGTCCCCAAGCCATTTTTTAAAAATATAGATGGGGATTTAAATTGCTCTCTTCTATTTGCACCGATAGGAACCCGTAAACAGAGGCTAGATGGCCACCTGATAGCAATGACACACTATGAATTTAGGTAGAGTGTGAGTGGGATGGCAGGAAGGGATGAGTTAGTGCTCAGCTCTTGTAGCCATTTCTTATGTGCTCAGGGTAATGCTAATTACCACTTTGGGGTCAGGAAGGCCAGATTATCATCCTCTGGATACAGAGCAGGGGTCACTGGGGGGGGTAGCTGTGAATTTCTTGCATTGTGCAAGAAGTTGGTCTAGATGACCCTTGGGATCCCTTTCAGCTCTAAGCATCAGCTGTAGGGGAAAATTCAATTATCTCTGCAGGTATTTAAAATGGGAGTAGCCAGATGAAGTCCTGATAGAGGAGAGAACCGATGAGGATCCTGCTAACACTGTAGCTGAGGACCGTTCAGGCTGACTTCTCCCCTCCTCTTTCTGCATATATTTAAACTGGGTGGGGCTAAAGCCAAAGGGTCTTGGCCCTTAACCTGGGTTTGTGACCTGGGACCTGTGAAAATCAGCTTGCTAGACTGCGACAATCTCTGTTATTTCCCTTTGTTTGTATTGAGAACCTTTTCTTTTTGTAAGATGCTTCGGGTCCCTCAGAGAGAAAAGCAGGCTAAAACGCTCAAATAAAGAAATACAGTCAGAAAACACAGTATGAGGCAAGTTAAAAATCCCCTCCTCAGAGCTGTGGTCCTGATCCTTTTAAAATAAAAGACAGGTTTTATTGTGGATGCTAACGCCTTGCCTAGTTTGGCACATGGATTCAAGTGAGACATCTTTCCCCCCAATGTTTAATTTCATAAACTATCAAATAGTTCAAGTTAGAAGTATTTCTGTCAGAGTAGCCACAAAATGTACTCCCTGGTCATGACAAACCATGCCAATGGTGCCCTTGCCCTGGAGAAATAAGGCAAGTAGTGACTAGGGACAGGGCTTTCTCAGTGGTGGCTTTCCAGCTGTGAATGCCCTCTCTCTTGAAGTTCACCTGGCAACAGATGAAAACATTTATTTTCACCCAATCCTTTAACAACTTTTGCTTTTTTGTATTTAGCCCCCTTTTTATCATCTACCCACCATTTGTAATTTTTATACTGCTGATTTTAGCAATATTGCTTTATTGCTGTGAGTTTTGTTGTTTTAACCATTAAAAATTATTTTATTTTTTTTACTTGGCCAATATTTTTGGAGTAGTTAGATATATTCTAAACAAATAGGGAGACAGACAGTAACCATTTTTCTTGTACACCCCCTTTCTTTGTTCCTGATTATCAGTTGTTTTACTATACAGAATCACCACTACAGTTAGTCATAATGTCAATAATTTAAAATTGCATGAAATTATGTAATATTTTTCCTGAAAAAACAAATATCTTTTATTTAATCATTATTTATATTCACATAGGTTGTTTAATTGCTGCCAAACCACAAAGCCATACTTAAATGTTCAATAGGGCTGCCAACCCCCCCGGTAGGGCGGAATTCCCCCCGCCCCAGAGGCCCGTTACCCGACGCCGGGGAATCCGGGCCCGGGGGGAACTCCGCCCCGGCGTGCGCGTCACCGGAAGTGACGTCGCACGCTGGGGGCGGGGCCACGCCATTTTCAAGATTTGGCAACCCTAATGTTCAAACACATTAACATTTGGCAACAGACAGGGGAGAATGGTAGTGAGTTGGAAAGCCATGTATACTGGATGAGACAGATGTGCATAGATTAATAATAGTCTGTTTATTACTGCACAAGCAGGGACCATCAAACATTTGGGTATAAAGAGAGGAGTGGGCTAGTGGTAGATACTGGGGTTAGATCCCCAAGTGAAATCTGGTTCCTTCAGTAAGAAGCCCAGGAAGAGCCAGAAAGCCAGGGCCCTAGTCTCCTTGGGTTCCCAGTAAGGTAAGTAGACTTCTACAAGGAGAACCACATAAAGGGTTTTAAAGGGGGATAATTATTGTTTAAAAAAGCAATTATGAAGCCAGAATGCCAGCAGGGGGTTGGGGGCAATGTTCCCTCTAAGCTGTGGAGTCTTGTGAGCAAAAATTCTATTTTGTGAGCGACTGGCATTAAAGTTGTGAGCAAGCGATTTGGCTACTGCATAAATTAGTTTGCTCTGCAACCTTCCTTCCTGAGCTAAGACAAAAATGTGTGAACTGAAGGCTAAAAAACTGTGAGCTAGCTCACACTAACTCAGCTTAGAGGAAACACTGGTTGGGGGCTATCCAGTGTTTTGTACGGAGTGTCACATGTATGACTATCTGCCCACTGGATAGAAGTCTTGGGTGTGTGCTTGGTGCAAGGAGCTCCTGGTTCTCAGGGAATGAGTTTGTTCCCTTGAGGCCAAGGTGGCTGACCTGGAGAAGCAGACACAGTCAGTTAGGTACACGGAGAAGACTCTCGGGGACTTCCGGTGGGTGGATCGGCGATGGCGGTCGCTTTCCTCGATGTCTGAGGAGGCAACTAGCACACCCTCGGCTTGGAGGGGTGCCACCTCAAGTGGCACCCCCACAGAGCCCCTGTGAAGGGTTCCAGGCCAGGGGACTCCTGAGGGTTAGCCTCTTTGATGGCTTGAAGCCGGAGAATAGAGGCTTCCCTCTGCCCCGATGGTCCAGCCGATGGGTGACCTTAGGTTACAAGCCAACCTAACCGGGACAAACGTAGGAGATCAAGCGGAATAGCGTATGAAGAGAGCAGGGTCAAGATATGACCAACAATGAATGTGAGTTCGAAATAAACGGACTATTTTACTAAAACGGAGTACCCCCCCGGTGGGAAAAGCGGTGCGTAAGGAGGGACGCCTCCTAAGTGCATGAATGGACTAATGCAAAGAAGGGGGGAAATAAACAGTGAGTTTTTTTCTGAGAGACTTGAGTACCGATAGTGAAACGACGAGTCTTTCGAGTCCTGGCATAGCGGTTTGGAAGTGTAAACAAAGTGAAATATGGCGGCTTCCTGAGGAAAGTTAAAACCGAAACCAGGCAGTCAGAGTCCAAGACCGGAAGAGGGAGCAGACGTCATGAAGTTGCTAGCGGATATGCTGAAGCCGGTAATGGAGCAACTCGGTGGTATTAACCAGCAATTGGCCACACTAAACCAAAACTTCGCTCTGCAGCAGCGCCAGCTGGCAGAAATGGAGAAGAAAGTGGAGCATGCAACTGTGAAAATTACAGAGATGGATATCGCAAATAACAAGATGAGGAAAAGAGTGACGGATGTGGAAACAGCACAAAAACGTCAAGAAACTCGTTTGTTACAGCTTCAAATGGAAAAAGCTAACATGACTCTCAGATTTCAGAGGGTGTCTGAAATTGAAAAAGAAGATTTAAAGAAGACTCTGGGAGAGATCATCGCTCCAGTAACAGGTATATCAGAGGATGAAATAGTAAAAGACATAGAGGCTGCCTATTGGGCATACTCTAATTATATCAGAAAAAATAACCTGCCTGGAGAGATTGTGGTGAGATTCGCAATAAGACATACCAGAGCTGCGGTATTAAAGGCAACTTCGGCAAATCCACTGAAAATTGGGAATACAATCATAAAGACTTTAAAGGATATTCCATTTGAAAGTCGTCAAAAGGGGAAAGGCTACAAGGAATTGATCTCATTTCTTCAAACTAATGGAATTCAGTACAGGTGGGTGATTCCTGATGGTGTAATTTTTAAAGTCAACGACAAAAGAGAGAAGATTGACTCCATCTTTAAAGCTAAGGAATTTTTGAGATGTCAGCTTGGGCCGGAAGAAGAACTTAAAGATGAAGAATCCAAGTCAAGTGACTCTGCTACTTCGGGAACGTATGACTTTAGGGATAGAAAACCGAAGTAAGGGCAGAAGGACTCTGTAAATTGCTCTTTGAAGTAAAGAAGATGCTCAAGAAGCACTCTCACAAAGATTAACTTACTAATATAGAAGATGTGTTAAACAAGAACTTCACAAGTATATTGTATCACAAACAATTGTATTACTAACATTTAGATTAACATGGAAAGTATCTCCTACTCTTGGGTTTTTAGTTAGTGTGGGTATCTTTCCTTTATCCTTAGATGTAGTCCCCCTTCCTTGATTTTTCGTTGTAGTTAATAGTCTTATGAAAAATAATAAAAATACCCTCTCGGGGGTTTCAAAAAAAAAAAACTTCACAAGTATATTGTATCACAAACAATTGTATTACTAACATTTAGATTAACATGGAAACTATCTCCTACTCTTGGGTTTTTAGTTAGTGTGGGTATCTTTCCTTTATCCTTAGATGTAGTCCCCCTTCCTTGATTTTTCGTTGTAGTTAATAGTCTTATGAAAAATAATAAAAATACCCTCTCGGGGGTTTCAAAAAA